GCTTGAAAAGAAAGTTATTGAGTGCATTATTTTATATATTTTCATTGATTGAATTTGTTGATTGTAGTCAAATCTTTTATATTCCTACTGATTTTTATTTTTGGTTGTCTTCTTGTATTAGTTACTTAAAGATGTGTGTTAAAATCTTCCACTGTGGTTGTGGACTTGCTGCTTCTCCTTGGAGTTTCAACAGTTTTTACGTTCCAAAGTTAGGTCATGTTGGTATATATTACGTTTGTTACATTTTCTTGGTGAATTGGATCCTTAATCAATAGGAAGAGACCTATTTATCTGTAAATAATTTTTAAAATATCAGCTTTAATGTCTTGCTTAACTAATTATATGTCTATACCACCTTCCTTTTGTTGATTCCTTCACAGTACATCCTTTTCCATTGTTTTCTCTCAACCTATCTGTTTATGTTTTTAGATATCTCTTTGGTTTCCAACAATCACTATCTTTTGTAGCATGTAGTCCATTCAAATTTAATATGGTTAGTAATATACTTAGATTTTTAATCGTCTTTTGCTCTGTTCTTTTTTTCCTTGTTTTATTCTATGCGCAAGCACCTTTTGGCCATTCCATTTAGTTGTTATTCTAGAGTTTACAGCGTGACTCCCCACAGTCTAATACCAGTTGTTACTTCTGTCATCTTTCCAGTCAGTTCAAGAACCCTCTGCATCTATGCTCCATGTCTCTTCTCTTTGGTATCTTTCATCTTTTTACTCTTTGTGATGCCTCCTAAGTACTTTCTTTGGATACTCTTGCAACTTAATTCTTCTACATAAAATCTTGTTCAATCCATGCATGGGGGTTTTAACTTTAATCTAAATTTTTTTTTTTACAGTTCTACTTGCTTGGTTTTCAGATCTTCTTGGTTATTTTTCATCGTCTCTTCCTTGATCATACTTTTAAGCCTCAACTGTATGCCTGTGAAATTATTAAACATTATTATTTAACATATTGTGTTTACTTTTGGTACTTGAAGTCTTTTGTTTTGGATTTTATTGTTAATTCTGCTGGGCCTCACTCATGACGCTTCTGTGTGTCCTTTTATACTTTGCAGTTTTAACTGTGAACCCATGTGCTTTGGATTTTTGTTTTTTTTCTCTTCGTGGAGCATACTCAGATGTCTGGATTGATAATGCATTTCCTTGGAGAGGATTACTGCTCGAGTCACCTTGGGTGACTCAACCTGGGATCTCTTTTCTTTAATTAATTTCTTGCTGAGGCTTTTTAAACTATGCTGGTAGCATAAACTCAGATGATAGATCCCTCTACATGGCACCAGCGTCATGACACACAGAGAGTTCTTCGCATCCACTCATATATGGTGGATTTGTCCTTCCCTCCCGTCCTCCCTTCCTTCCTTCCTTTCTCAGTCTCTTTCTCCCTGTCTATTCTCTTTCTGTCTCTCTCTCAGTTCATCCTTACCTTGAATATGTATGTTCTATGCAGTATTGTCATATTTGAATCTTTCTTCGGGGAGGCGCTACCCTAGGCTTTGTCTTCTGTCCCCCATGCAGATAACAGAAATTCAAAATTTCAACATAAGTAAGTTGTTGTTAGAGTGAAAATTGACGTTGGAGCCTAGTAACCTAGAGAGCCTTTGCAACACATTTTGTTTTACACTCTGATGTTTTCTTATTTTTTTATGTCAGCCGAGTGGTGGCTTTCTCTCACTTTTTAAAAAAGCTTTTAAATATTGTTTATCCATTAGATAGCTTTTATTTTTACTTTTTAACCCTTTATTGTGGTATGGTTCCTGCACAGTAAACTACACGTATTTCAGATGTACATTTTGATGAATTTTGACAAATGTATACATCCATGAAATCACCACCACAGTCAAGATAGCTAACATTTCCGTCACTCCCCAAGAGGGGCAATTTTCAAATTCCCAATTTATCCTTTCCCACCCGCTATATAACTTTTTTTTTAAAGGCAGGTTTGCTGTTTCTTGGAAAGGAATCATAATGTATATTTCTTTGTAAAAAGTAATTCCGTGCATTTTCCATAGCTTTTATTATCTTCAGAATGCTGCCTGATATAATTAGCTTTTTCTCCTATTCATGTCACTTTTATGCAATAACCACAAAAAAATGAGTCTAGTTAACAGTTGAATAATTATTATGTGCCAGTTATTGTTTGTAAAGGGTTTATATTTATTAACTCATTGAATCCCATCAGCATCTCTATAAAATAGATACAGTTCTTATTCTCTCTTTGCAGACGGGAAAGTTAAAGCACAGAGAAGTCGAGTATGTTGCTCAGGGTCACAGAGTGAATGAAAATTAGAACAGAATTATTATTAAATTGTAAGCTACTAGGTTAATAAATAATTATTATTGTGCCATCATGAGGAAAGAAAAAAAAAAAGAGACAGGTTTGTTGCTACCTAGCTGTGAATTTGTATCCAGGATCTGACACTCACTCTCTGCTTTAAAAAGCAACAACAATAAAAATAGGGCACAAAGCTTGATATTTGTTCTTACTTGTTTATTTTAGTTTTAATTTTTTGATTTTACTTATTTTTATTATAATCCATTATAAAATAATCAAACAGAAAGCTCCCCGTTATTCTCTATAGCTCCCTCTTCCCTCTTTGTTTCCCTCTGCCCCCATCATATGAGCTGTCATTAACAGTTTGGAGTATATCCTGCAGAGGTTTTCTCAGTACGTGTGTGTGTGGGTATATTTCTGTAACTCAGGTTTTCACAGGATCTAGCTTTGAGACTCTGGGCTGGGAGCAGAAGGATTTATGTGGCTGTTCTTTTTATATTCTCATTGTCTTTTTAAAGCTGTGTTATATTGCAGTGTGTGAATCTATTTAGATTTTCCCCTTCATTTAGATATTATTAGATATTCATTTTATTTAGCTATTGTCTTATTAACAAGAGGCTGTTTCCTTTTTTAACTACTACAAACCATACTGCATCATTCACGTACCATCCCTCCTTGTGTAAAGATACTTGCGAGTTAAATTTATTGCCGTGGCACAGCTGGGGCAATTGTGGAGTCTGTCACGTTTTCACAAATACTGTGAAGTTGCGCACTAAAAAATTCCACTATATGCCCTACTGTGGAAGGGAGTAGTCATGAGTAGACCTACATATATGTAGGAATTTAGAATAACAGAAAACAGGATGATAAAGGAGTGGAAGAAATACTGATTATTCAAGTTCCTGCTGTCAAGTCACTGGGCTTGGGGGGTGGGGGGCTTGACAAGCAATACCAAATCTAGAAATCAACAAAGAAACAATTGATACATTTGCTCATGTAAAGCATATAATTTTTATCTTTAAAATATTGTCAAGTAGATTTTTTTTAAAAAGACAAGAAAGCAACAAACTGGAAAAATGTGTGTAGCCAATATGACAACAGACTGATTACTTTAGCATCCAAAGAGATTTTATTTGAGGAAAAAGTCAAGCAACACAGCTCAAAGGAAAGTAGACAAATAGTAAATTCGTTAACTTTTTTTTTTGAGTTTTTACAGTGTGTTAGAAACAGCTATTTTAAATGCAAGTTCCTGTTTAATTCTAGCAAAGCTCTGTGCTACAGGTATTATTATTAACCCTGTTCTGTAGAGAAGGAATTATTGTTCAGATTGATTAAAACCCTTTCCTGTAGTCACTCAGCTTTTGTAGAGATAGGGCCTGAACTCACACACTGGCCAGTTTACCTGATAAATCGGTTTTCTTAAGCACCTTCCTAAGTAGTGGCCCCTGGCAAGGAAATAAGCTAGATCTCACTGGGAAACACATTTAAATGACCAACAAGCATCTTAAATTTGTTAAAAGCTGCTTCTTACTCCAAGAAGTGAGAAATTAAATACACACATACGTATATAGTATTGTACCTCTGCGTAGGCAAAGATTAACCATATTAATAACAATCTCTAATAGGAAGGCGAGGGTTCCTCATACTGTTGATGCAGTTGTGATTATTTACACCAACAAGATGCTCTCTCTCAGCCACGATTTGCTCATCTATAAAAGGAAGAATAATTGTGAGCGTTACAATCTAAATATATAAAACAAATGTTAGGGCCACGGCATATACAAGGTGCCCAGTGACTCTTGCAGGCTGCTCTCCCAGAATCCCCCAGCACTGTCCCCGACCCCAGAAAAAGACAACAGAAGTAGATCTTTCACCTCTCTGTATTCCTAGCACAAGGCAAAGAAAGGGTCAGCAGGCAATGGAAGTGCAATGAAGGCCAGGAGGAAGCACTCCAGGCCCTGAGAGCTCTCATTGGGCCATCGTGGGTTTACAGCATCATTTTCTAGGGTTGTGCAAGGATGTCCACGGTACATTGAATTCCACACCCCATGTTCTAGATCTTCATTCCCACTTGGGTCCAAGCAGCCAATAGATAGAACAAAAGAAGCCACGGGTCCCGTGGAAATAATACTCAGCAGTAGTACCTTCATTGTCTGTGGGTTGGGGGTGTCATGGTTTGTAGTCAGATGCTCCCCCATCTACTTCAAAGCATCATTAACCTTCTGGAATAAATGAGTCTGAAAATTCTAAATATAAGATATTAGAAAACCCCCAAAGCACCGAAGCACTGTAATAATATCCTCCCTTGTCTGAATATTTACTGGCAACCGTGTGTTAATTGAGAGGGAAGTACTGACTTTGAAATGACCTAACTGGCCTTTAGTTTTGAAGATCTGTGTGCACGGAGCCATCGTGACAACACTGCCCTTTTAAATCACTTCTGAGCGCCAAAGTCTCCTCCTTGGAACTGTCGGTTCCGGGAAAGCAGAGTCACCAAGATTCTGACGGGTTGGAATGGCAATTGGTCTTGTGATCTTCTCCCCAAGAAGGTTCTTCCAGGGCCCCATCCATTTGGCAGCCTTTTACCTCCAGGTTTTTAGAGAAACTTTTCCAGTAGCCCTTTCTCATTTGTCTAACTAAGAAATAAACATGACAAGATGAATATTCTGCGGTCCTGGAGCGTCAGAGAAAATGACATTTATGTGGTTTGTCCACAGCACATTTAACTGGACGGTCCCATTCCTCTCATTCCTGGCCTGTTTGATACTGGCAGTTGCCACCATCACTTTGTATTTCATTCCGCTCCGGTACATCATTTTAATCTGGGGTAAGTTTGGCATGGTCCTTTGGCTAGCAATCAATTCCAGGTAAGAACCAATTACTCATTTTTAAAGTGCGGCTATAAACTTTAAATGTGCTCTTGTTGGCAATTAAACATGAGATTAAGGAAAGCATTTGGGGAACAAAAACTTCCAGGACCTCCCTGCAAAGGCCAGTTGCATGAACAATCAGCCTAGATATTTATAGGCCTCTTACATAATTGCAATCAAATAAAAATCTGATTGTTCATGCTGTTCCCCTTTGGGCTTTCGGAGTCATAAATACTCTTGAATAATAAACTGCTGAGGCCCAGTAACTCTGAGGGAGCACTGTTATTCAGACAGTGAGCAAACACCTGCGTCTTGCCCTGTCAGTTACGTAAAAGTAGATCTAGCCACTGCTAGGCTGCCCCTGACACTTCACCTCCCCTGGAAGGAAAAAAACTAACCTCGCTCAATACTGAAATCCAGAAGCCGTGAGGTGTAAGGGAGGGGCATTGCCTAACCAGCGCCTGGAAGGAAAGAAAGCTGTTATTTGCCAGGGGAAGTGGTATGCCCATCTCAAGTTCATTTCAGCCGCTTTAAAAAAGTAGAAACACAAATGGCAAACTGGAAATAAATTCCAGGACTTGATTTACTACTTGCACTAGCGATTGGAAGAATTACCAGCAGCTTTGTGAATATTTGTGTCTGCCGCTGGGTGGGCTCCGGGTTGATACAAGGAGAGTGCGCTGCAGTAAATTAATTGGAGAAGCCGTCAGCCCTTCCCCGTAAGAATCTATTAGTCCTGGTTTTCCGTTGCTTGGCTCCTGCCACTGCTGCCGTGTTCTCAGCGACAGTCACTTCAAGGGATCTTCAGATGTTAAGAGGTTCAGAGAAGCGCCAAAGACACGCGACTGGGTTGAGATGCGCTCATCTTTAAGCAAAAGCTGGGAGCCTGCAGATGTCCAGGGGAAAAAAAATGGTGTAATATTCCTGAAACCATTAAATGTAGACCCTTTTCAGAGAGAACCCACAAGGATAGAATCCTGCTGACAAAGGCCAAACCTAGACATGCAGAAATGGGAAAAGTCATGGGAAAAGTAGAATAACTCATAACCTTTCAGAAGTGGAATGATTTTGAGAGAGCATAATCCATTCATCTTTGATTTTGTCCAGGGGGTGAAAATCCTGTTACATCAAGTCTGTCTCCTTGGTAGTGAGCCCAAGGGAAGGAAAGGAAAAGACATTCTAGCTCACTCTTCAGGGGTTCATTTTAACACTTGATGACTCTCACTGTTGGGGAAAGCCCTCACCTATTGGTGCTTAGTTTTGCCTCTCTGTTGTGTTTTGCAGTTCAGCACATTGGTCCATTTTTGACCCTTAGGAACGAGAACTTGGAGCTTTCCCGGGGCCCATTGATTAAGAAGGAATGCAGATTTTGTAAAAGCCTTTCCCTGAATACGCATACACTGAATGTTATCTGTAGAGCCTGAATAATCTCATTCTTTCTCGTTTTTCATAAAGTTTTAGTTTCTCAGTCCATTTACTGATCACATTTAAAACACAGATCTTAAAACTCTTGTCTCACTCTAACAAGGACATGACTCAGAACTACAATCATTTAGCCAGTGTTTTGTTCCTTTTTAAGTTTGTGTGAACCGATGGCATGTTGCACCCTGTTGCCCATGATTTTGTCATCATTCCAGGACTTACCTTGACTTGCTTTTCTGCGTTTCGTCCTCCACAAAGAAGACTGTACTATGTTTCTTCCTTTGTCGATTTTGGGATTCCAATCCCCCTTCCATCTGACCCCAAGTCCCCTTGACTCCTCGTCTTGGCAGCTTTTCAACACCAACTTTTTGCATCTACCTAGTGAGACTATGTTCTAATTTATTGTTCAGCTTATGCATGAAATTGTTAAATAGCATAATTAATATATTATGCTCTCCTGGGCTGAAAGTAAGCCTTCGAGCTTTATATTCTTCTGGGTCCAGTTCCTCAGTTTTATGTGCTAGACACAGGTTTATAGTTTGTTGATGAGCTTACAATAGATAATGTAGTCAAAAGCCTTGACCATCACATGATCTATTGCCTCATCTCATCATGTAAAACCCGCCATACCATCATGGTACATACTCTGCGATCCTATCAGGACTTACTCTCTTCCAAGACAAGTTAGTTATAAGCGAGCACGGATCCGGGACCTTCCTTTGCACATCTCTTACGTGATTATATTCTTGGCAGAGAATTTATCATTTAGAAGAAGGTAACTTTATACATCTTAAATGTCTAGTGTTCCTTTTAACCTTACTGAGGATCGGAAGACTGTTTCTTATTCTAAGTTACTTAACTCATTTTCACTGCAGCCTAAAAGTGATGGGTAAGATCCTTAAATATTTTGTTCAATGTTTTTAACCCTTTGGAAAAAGTTACTTAACTCGATGTTGTGTATTTCCCTATTCCTGATACCCGAATAGCACTTTTATACTGTTGTTGAATATCACAATTATTTAACATAAACCTGTAAAAACCTAATTTCATCATGGCCATGGGAAATAATCCTTGACTCACCAGCTTCATTGTAAGGTTTTTAGGGTGAGATACTTTCTTTCCTCTAACTATGTAATTCCTAGTACAACTATGTATAGGTAATAGATCTTTGATAGATCTTGGAAATATTTTTTACCTGTGTTCTACATAGATGGCATTTTTTGAGCCCACCACTGCTCTTACTTGGGAGCATAATATTTGATAATTAAGTTAGGGGTGATCTAAGAGGGCTATCTGGAATTTTCTTTAGGAATCTGTATCTGCTGAATTTTGGTCACTTATTTGAGGTGTGTATTTCTAGGAGGCAAGGCACGTTTTAGGATTAGATCCCACTGAGTTTTCTCTGTCCCTTTTGTGAGGTTTCCCACGCTCCCTCCATTCTGTTCATTGTGGCTGCTCTAATTATGGTTTTTCAGTTATGATCTGAGCCTCTTTTGTTTTTCCCAGGTACCTATGAACTCCCCAAACCAGATTTTGAGCCTCTTGAAAAGGAACTATGACTTATTTAATTTTATGTCTTCATTTGATGGCACAATATATCTTACAAGGAAGACACTCAGTGTTTGAGTGTCTCACCCACCCCACCAATATATTGCAGTCAGGGCTACATGCCAGTCCCTCATAGAAGCACCTGAAAAATAATATTGTAATTCAGTTTCAAGTGATTGTTCCCTAGTGATCATATGTGCAAAGCAGCCATGCGATCTTTCCTCTCCCTTTATCCAGGTGATTTTGTTTTAAACTGGAGGGCTCTTTCCAAGCCACTGATCTATTTGATCTGTGATCATGAAATGATAGTGTCTTTCCCAAATGTTAATCCCTTGGTATTTAAATCCCACTTACTTTTTCCTTCTTTTTTTTCCACCAAAAAAGATTAAATTCACAACAGATATGCTTTCTGTCTATCTGTATGATTGAGGTTAAAAAAATCTAAAGGTTTGTCTAGCACACTACTGGAGAAAGCCATAACTTGCAGATGTATGATCACATCCCTGATAGTAGAAAGACTTCTCCATCATCGCCTCCATTGTTCCTTGGCTGATCGACATCTGCGGTAATGGTGGTAGCCCCCTTCCCCGTCGGGGAATTTCAGATAATAGAATCCTCTTGCCTGCCTTGTCCAATGGGATTCTCCCATCAACCCAAGGAACCAAATAGGGCATGTTTCATTATTCAGATAGGAATATAAGAAATCTGAGGCACAGGAAGGTTAAGTGATTTGTCTGAAACTACACAGCTCATAATACACGGTGAAGCCAAAACTGGGACCCAGCTACTCTTGTTTCCAAACCCTTGTTCCTTGCCCCGTTGCCCTTAAAGACAGCCAAGGAATCTCTGATTCTCCTGTTAGCTCTCGGACTACACTGTAGATAATTTGGTGGAAGTACCAACATTTGAGCCTGTGACACCTTTAAAAAAATTAAATAAAATGTGCTTTTAAAGCACGCAATCTGAGTTCCTTATTTTCTAGCAAAGATTTTCAAGCACAGAGTGTCGGGGCGCGTACTTCTGCCCTTAGTGGTGCATTTGAGCTATGTGCAGGTTTCTAGTCTTCTCAGTGACTAAGAATGCAGTGTTTTGATCGGCTGTGATATTATCCCTGCCTTGCTGTTCATTGTAAAGGCTCCAGATGCGCACACTGTATATAATTAACAATAGAAGATATATCTTTTCTCAGTGTGGCTTTGTCTCCCACCATCATTTTGCCTTGTCTGTTTCCTTTCGCCAAAAAGCCCATGCTACAATTAAATGTCTTCAGAATAACACAGCGAGAGTATTTGAGTTTAAAGGAACCCTGGGGAAAATTGTAGCTAGAAACACGAAGCAGGCGGTGGAGGGTAAAGGGACAAGGGGTGCAGAGTGGCTTGGACTTGGGAGCAAGGAGATCATGTGCAGGAAGTCTTCCCCAGGCCAGTCGGCCGGCCACCCCTGCCTTCTGAGCATGGCCAGCTCCCATGTGCAAAGCAGATGTAAATGTGACCCTCCCTAAAGAGATGACTGGGGGGTTGGCATCGTGTCAGGTGTAACGGCACGCAGGAAGTCTAGCTCTTAGATTAAAGCAAAATGACATTTAATGAGAGAAGAAAAACATCCAGCCTTGTGTTTGTCTCGTGGACTGTTGAACAGTTAAGTGTTACCCTGACTTCAGAGTAAGAGCCAGTCAAGGTTACAACCAAGGTGGGCATCCATTTAGCATCATGGGGGTTGACAGGGGCTTCAGATACAGTCCTTGTTAAACAAGCACCCTGTGGCCAGACTTCAGATGGCCACCTCGACTTTCTGCTTCTAAAAATTGACCCAAGAAAGGGTAGACATTTGATTGAAAGACCACAGTTTATGAGCTCTGGATACAGGCACACGCCTCCAAGGAGCTCTGAAGAGCAGAATTGGAGACACAAGCTGGTGCAGAAGCACCTCCCTCTGAGCAGGAAACCATGGGCAGAGCTCGTCTGGACGTGCCCACCCGCCCAAGGTGCAGCTACCAAGGACAACTTGAACATCACAGCCCCTTCTAATGACCATTGTCCTAAATCAGCACAGATGGACTCTGGTTCCCAGCCACACCCACACCCCAGTGCCGCGGTCCATAAATTAAGTTAGCAACCATAGTCAGATAATTTTCCAATAATAACTTTTCACAGTTTTCCTGCAGCATCAAAGTACAATCAACATGTTAAGTTCTGTTCTGCAGCGAGAGAAGAGAAACCTGTGAAAATGAGTTGGAAGGGGGGAGACAGATTTCTGCAGGTTCTTTTTAACAACAAAAAAACAGCTCCCGCCCCCCCGCCTCCCACTGCTCCATTTGGTCCAGCGCTCCCAAGCAGAGACTTGTTTGGGCTAATGAAGGCCTTTTCCCATTTGGGACACTCGTTCTCCTAGCAGAGGAGGCTGTTAATCAGCATGGTCCAAAAAACCAATGAGTGCCACGGTTTTCGTGTGGGTTTCGGCCACCCTGCTGCTGGGACTGTAATGGGATTTTCACAGCTGAAGAAGGCAGAGCCCCTCTCCATCAGTCCCCCCTCTTCCTTCCTCCAAGAAAAAGGCATTTGTGAATGATTCCACATGACAGCGTCATGTGCATGACTTGAGGTCCAGTAATTGTTTTCACACTAATTTGTACTTGCGAAGACATCCCCCCCGCCAGTCAGGTGAGTTTTTAAAGCTAGATAAGATGGATAGATCAACAGACCAACCAACAGACCAACCGACAGACAGACAGACAAAGAGATCACGCGGTATTTCTGTTTTTCAGGCATAAATAAGTTCACGAAGAAGCTTCGAAATCCCTATGCCATTGACAATAACGAGCTACTAGACTTCCTCTCCCGGGTACCGTCTGATGTTCAAAAGGTACGTAATGAGTAATGAACGGTCGCCACCAGGGGGGGGCCTCATCACGGAAGCCTGGCCAGCCCCGGCGCCAGGGCGGTTCTTCTGTGAGTGACTGAGATAACGAATCAGAAAATCCTTACAGAGGCCTGGCTTACAGAGAGGTGGTGTGAAAAAAAAACCTTTGTCGGACGCATGAGATGATGGGGGAAAATTATCCTGAGAAAGAGCTACTTAAGAATGATCTGGAAGTCACACTGCGAGGCTCCGGTGCAGGGATGTTTGTCCCTTTTCGGATTGCTGGCTTCCCTGAAGAGGATGAGATGAGCTCAGGGAGTGGGAGAGCGGAGGCGCGCTGACCTCCTCCTCTTCCGGATGGGGGGCGTTTTGCGGGAAGCTAGGGGGCAAGAGGATTATTCTTTTTATCCTCCTTGGCCCCGATGATCTCCTGAGCCTCCCTCGTATCCTTCCCCTCTGAAGACTAAGAGCTGCTGAGGACACAGCCCCTGCTGGTTCTCACACACATAGAGGCAGAGACGGCATGAAATAATTTGAGATCAATCAGAAGCGTTATTCCCAGGTAATGGTCACTTAGTCCGGCGGGGTCCCATTTCTGTGGATACAGAGAGATTAACCAAGACAACAATATCAGAAAGTCCTTCGAGCAGCCGAGCTCAGGCCCCTGCAGATCCAGAGGAGGGAGGGCGGGCACTGATTTCTCTAGTGGAGGGGAGAGATCATAGAATAGGTAGGTGGGGAGACCGTGACATGAAATAGCATCACGATGATCAAAGACACAATCTTTTATTGTCCGAGAGAATCTCAAATCAAATACCCATTTCACCTTTAGGCCCCTGGACCATAATTCGTTCCCTGGCCGCTCCGGGTGGATTTCAGAGATGTAGGGCTGAAAAGGCTCCAGAGTTTCTTTCCCTGTCATTCCAAGTTCTGGAGATTAAAACTGACACTGTGATGCTTTTTCCCTCTCACCCTCATTTTATGATATCATTATCTATTAAAATGCATTCTGTAGATAGGAATTTACCGGTGAACACTGCGTCGCGCAATTATAAAATAGTAACTTGGCCCCTGTTTGTTTTGCATTGAAGATTGACAGGTATGTCATCCCGGCTCCCCCAGGGGACCTTCACAAAACACACTAAGGAAAGCATGCCTTTTATTTTCATGGATCTGCTTTTGACCAAGTGTAGCTCAGCTTACACGATGGGGTAGGATGTCCTCGGGGAGTTTGGCACAAACCCTCCAAATAGTGAGCACATGTGGTCTGTAACCCAATACTTGAAATAAAGCCATTCCACCATCAGCCTATCAAAACCCCCAGGCCAAAGCAATACGATTGCAGCGTACCATCACTTGAGTCCAAGTGTGAGTTTGTGCCCGCATCCCTGAAGAACGGAAATTACCATCAAGCCCCGCCTCCCACCCCCCAAGGATTGTCTGTGCACAGTTCGGGTACCAGCCCTCAGCGAGGTCATCCAGTTGGAGTTGGCATGAATACAGAGCACTACAGCAAAAGAGCGTTCGAGGAAGATACCCAGGAAGCTAGTGAGGTCTTGTGCATATCTCCAAGAGCACTTTCTGATGACACAGTCGACTCCCCATGTGCTCATATTTGTCACAGATGTTTTAGCCATTACATTGTAAATGAAGTTCGGTTTTAAGAGAAATCTATATTCGTCTGGGGCCAGTATCAATTTCAACATGTTTTCCCCCTCTCTGGCAAAATAAATGTATATAATTTGCAGAGATTTTTTTTCCCCGAGATTTTAGATATTTTTAAATGAGTAATTCTTAGTCAGTGGCTGTATCATATACTAAGATAAACATTCCCACGAGGCCGCTCTTAGGCTGATTTCTGGTCGAACACGGGCACACACAAAACTGAAATCATGTAGCAGTGCCCAAGAGCAGGTAGAAACCTATGCATCTCATTAGAAAAATCTGCTTTTAATATTTTGGTTTCAAGAAATGATGCATGACTTCTCAAATCCTTCCTGCAATTAATCCCTCCCTGGTCCTGTGTTTGGAAAATGATTCATTACCTTTGAACCTTCCTTCCTTTGCCTTGGTGTGTCCTGGGGGAGCCATTAACGCACTGCGGCGAGCTCGGGTTACCCAAGCGCCCGCGCCCCGTCTGTGTGTTTTCACAGGTGCAGTACGCGGAGCTGAAGCAGGGCAGCAGCCAGAGCCCCCTTCGGAAGAAGCGCAGCGCTCTCTAGGACACACGGCGCCTTGGGACCCCGGCGCCCGGTTCCACGTTTGGTTGATCAGACCAGTGGCCTCTCGCATCCAGTGGTGTCCGTGGTGTCATTCTGAAATGCCTGCTGTGGGGAACCCTCTCTGTGTCCTCCCCCTGCTTCGTGTGCCCGGATACACTCCCATCTGTGCCCGTCTGTACGTAGGGGTGTCCTGGTTACGTCTTGAGTCGGCCCAGCAGAGGGGAACAATCCAGAGAAAGACTCACATCCCTTCTCAAATAGGAGATAAAGCAAAGCTTCCATGGGTCTGAACACCCTCCTTGGGAACAGCCACGAGGACACTCAGATTTGTGTGCGACTTTGAACTTGTTTTCACACCTCCTACAGATTCTCATTAAGATTCAGTTCTCTCCACTCCCTACCCCAACACTCCTTTCAGATGACTGTTCATGAGTCAATTTTTTTTTCTCTGAGTTAAAAAGTCTTTGATAGCCATGGCATCTACCCAAATAATGTATATTGTGAATTGATTTTTTTTTTTATATCCTGTGCCAGGATTAGCCCCCATCTTTGGGGATCTTCCAGCTGTGATGACTAAAGTCCTGGGTATAAAACTTCAGTGAGCTGCTTGGTGCTGGATGCCAGCCCCAGGAAGGTCCCAAGGGATCATTCATCCAGAACGTGAAGGTTCCATGACGTGTTTGGTTGCCTCAAATCACCATTTCTTCTGACTACCTTTTGCTTGTTCCCAAATAAAATCTCAGTATCATAGCTTGAGAGAGAGAAGGAGGGAGACAGATGAATGAATTCTTCAAGTGTTTAGAAATCAAGGCTGAGGGGCAAGGGACCCTTGTATGTAGCTGCTTCTATGATTGTCATAATCCCTTCGTTTGCCTGCATTTTTAAGAAAGGAAAAACACTGTAGCAGTCCAAAATGATCTTTTATTCCTAAGCAAAATAAGCTATGCATAATACAAATATATCTCAGAACCCCATTCCTGAAAAGTACCACCCCGTACATCTCAAAGTCCCCCTTTGAGTGTATCTGATTCCTGCGGACTCTGCCATTTCAGTGACCAACACTCCCCGCCCCAAGTAAAACTCCCAGTTTGGGGCATATATAAACTATATGCAGATATCTTTCTGTTCTAATAATATTTAAGTTGTAAAGACTGTATTTTGTTGACACATACTTTGTATGTGCAGTTTTATATATATATATATATATATATAAAAATAATATATGTATTGTAAAGAAAAGTTGAGGTAAAAAAATCTGATTTAATAGTGAGTTGCACTATGTTTTTTTCTTTTTCTTCCCCCCCTCTCTCTCTGGGTTGTAATTTAATAATCTTCCAACAAAATGTTTATGAAAAATGCCAAAGATTCTAAACCTTATCATCCTGTGTCTGTTTTTCTTCATTTTCTCTTTTCCCGGGTTGCTTTCTGGCTGAAGCAGATTTCTGCATGATTTGATTTACTTCAAGTTAATGAAGCTGGCTGGAAAAGAACCTTGCAGAAATTATAAAAGCTCCAGTAAATCTCTTAGTTGTCCATACAATAGATACCCAAGAACCTCTTTTGTTAAACCAGTTACTCAATCTTCTGTGTAAACAATGCCTCATTGTCTCACTCCCAACCACCATCTAGTTTATCATAGTCTGTCATTTTGTAACGACCTAAGTCAGACATTTTTAAACAGACACGTGAGATCTGATCCGTCATTTGAATGAAAACCTTCAGCAACAGAATAACCCCTTATTTATAAAGAAGTGGAACCAATACTTTATTTTTGTTCTTTTGCTGTAGAATTTCAAAGTGAAATAATGTGCCCGGCAAGAAGGCATCATTAGGCTTGTTTCCTCTGTAGCCCGAGTGGGGTTTTCAGCATTAAGTTGAGGACACAGACAGCAGCTGGGATGCAAGCGCAGGACACAATCAACCTTTAATAAACTGTACATGGAAAACAATTGTTAATTGATTAAGGCATCGGGATGTTCAAAATGAGTGTTATCTACAAGTGAAATGTTAAGATTCATACAAGTAATCAGAAACTTGTATGGAAGAGCTAGGGATGCTTTAGACAGAATTTATGGATTATGGTTTCACATTGTGATAGTTGAAGACAACTTAGTAGGGATGTTGAAGTCTGGCCAAGCTCTCCCAGTTCTCTTCTCCAACCTCACACGCCACTCAGCAGGTCAGAAATTCAATGTTCTCTCTCCCTGTGTGTTCAGGACCCCTAACTCTATAGTCTCCTTCTAGCTTCATTATTTCCCTTATTGGCACAGACATCTTACGGGCTGGGAGGCCCTTGGCATTCCTTTGTTCCTCGTAGTTTTTGCCCCATCTCCCAACCCGTAAAATCTGATGGATCCAGTGTTGACACACTACCTTGTTTGTTTATCTTGTCCATTTCTGATCACAGTCACTCAAGCTACCGCCCAAGCTGAGGCCTCTGTAACCTTTCACCAGTCAAGCTAATGGTGCCAACTACATTTTACCATGTCAATCTGATACAGAAAAATGGGGAGTGAGAGGATGGCTGTGTCCCAGGCCTCTGTTGAGGTCCCTGGGATGCACCCCACCAAGTCGGGGTCCTTAGCTTCATGCAGGAAAGAATTCAAGTGCGACCCATAGTTGAGTGAAAGTAGGTACATTTAAAGAGATGTACACCATAGACAGAGTGCAGACTGTCTCAGAAGGCTAGAGAGAGGCCATGAGGTACAGGGTTGAGTGCTTAGTGTAAAGTAAAAGTAGACACATAAACAGAGCGTGGGCCATCTCTGAAGGCAGAGGAGCAAGAGGCCACGAGGTGCAGTGTTGCTGGTTTTTATGAACTCCTAGTTTCATGTGCTAACAAGTGGAAGGATTACACCAACTACTTTGGGGAAGGGGCAGGGATTCCCAGGAACTGGGCCACTGCCCACTTTTTGACCTTTTATGGTCAGCCTGGGAACTGTCATGGCACCTGTGGGAATGCCACTTACCATGCTAATATATTGCAATGAGTGTATAATGAAGCTAAAGGTCTACTGGGAGTCCAATCTCCGGCTGTCCTGGGCCACAAATTTTATTGGAGTTGAAGTTTCTGCCGTCTTGGTGCTAATTGCTGTGTCATTCCTTTAATGGCTGTGCCCTACCCCTTCCCTCCTGTCTCAAATCTTCATCCAGACCACTCTTTTCACTTGAAATATTTCTTCCCAGTTTCTAACCAAATGAATTCTACCCTCCTTCAAAACTTTCCAAAGTCTCCTGCCCACATTGGCTTTCTTAACTCCTTGGCTGGATTGGATCCCACCCTTCTCCTTACACCCCCACCTCTGATACATCTTCTGGCGTCTGCCGTATTCTGCCATAGCTCATAGCTACCAGAGGCCTTGACTCCCTCTTTTTTCCAGTGGATATAGCCTATCCTATCTGGCACCTAATAGACACTCTGAAAATACGTGATTAACTGACCTGTTCATAGAGAATTTCTTTCCTGCCCTTTCATGTGTGATTCTCAGAACAGAGGGCTGAACGTGTCAATCCTAGGAAATAATTTCTGGCATTAAGTGCATAGCTTATATTGTGTGACATTATTTATAAGCTCTGGCCATGTTAATTAGAGACTTTTTAAAATTAAACAATGTTTTATATTTGGAGAAATCCTTACCTACATGTCAAAGGGAAAGACCATATTTATCGGTAGGTGGTAAAATAATTTTTGATTCTTATTCTATCATTTAACCAACATATTGAATGCTGATAATATACCTGAACAAAACATTTCCTTGATAGAGCCAGACATTAGACATATTTTCTAGCAATGGCATGACATTCTCAGTTTCAGCTTTTAAAAAGACCATTCTGGCTGCAGAGGGTAGACCAGCCATTATGAATGTCTGGTAAACGGATGGCAGCCTGGACTTTGAAATTATGGCAGTGGAAAAAGGAAATACATAAGTGAAATTGAGAGGTGGTTGAGAGAGAAAGTGAGCAGGACTTAACAGTTTGCTTGACTGTGGGTGAGGGAGAGAGAAGAGTCAAGGGGGGCTCTCAGTCTTATTGTCTCTGGGTCTAGGACAATGCTAGTTGCCTTTTACAGAGAAAAGGAATCAGAAGAACAGCCATGGGAGGCACTGCATGAGCCCAGTTGTCAATGGTGTTGCATTTGAGATGCTTTAGAGAAGCCTTCAAATGGGGACGTGTAAGAGGTGACTGAATGTATGGAGCTCAAAGAAGAAGATGCAGTAAGGTTGAGAGAGAGAGAGATGTTTAAGGGCGTGGAAGAGCCATGACGCTACACGCTTCAAGAGATTGAACTCAACACTCATGTAAAGATCTGTCAGCTAAGACTGTAAGTAGAAATAGAACTAAATAGAAAAGCAGTAAGCATGTGCTGTTGTGGATTTCAATGACAGATCACGTTTCCAGTAAGCAGGTTGGTGACAGGGCTAAATGCTGCTGTGATCACATGGGTTGAGGACAGAATAATGACCTTCATGACATGGCACTTTGGGGGGACCCTGGCAACAAGTCATTTCAACAGAGTGGCAGGAATAGAAACCAGATTTAGGTTGAGACATGAGCAGATGTATGAACATGGAGACTGAATGGAGGTAAACTTTGAAAAGTTCCACTGGAAGGAGAAGGGAGAGAGAGGGTAGAGACTGGGAATGAAGAAGGTCTAGAGGATGATTTGAGTAAGAAAAAAAAATAGATATCTCATGAACTCAGTGTATACTTATCAGCTACAAAAAATTCTTCATGAGTATGAGATGGTGTTAACCATATCGTTACTTAAAACCATGTATGTCAAAGCCCATCTCTCCTTTTTGTAGTATTAATCTAACTTTTATGGTAACAGAATGGTTGAAAGATTGAAATAGAATCGTCTCTGTAAATACTGAGTAGTCAATTGATAATTAAATGAAAGTTGAAGGGTGACTTCTAGAGAATGGCTTAAAGCTTGCTACCTCTTTATATAGGTCTCCTTATATAACGCATGCCGTTCTGTTCTGGCATTTTAATGTAATGATTTACATGGGAAAATGGATAGTCAAGCACATTAAGAATAGTTAACATTTATAGCACTTATCAAATGCCAGGTACTTCCTAAGTCCTTTAGATGTAATAGCCCATTTAATGTATTTTTTTAAAAAGCTGCTATGATATTCCTCTAAATACTTATTTAAAAAAACACCAACCAATCTTATACAAACTCTCCCAGAAAATAACAAAAAGATTATACTTTTCTATACATTTTATGAGGCCAATCTAATCTTCATCCCAAAACCCAACAAGATGATACAAGAATGGAAAATTGCTTACTAAAATCCCTTATGAATATAGATGTAAAATTATGAAAGATATAAAAACCTCTGGACTGAAAAAATTAATGAGAGGAAGAAAGTAAATAACTGAAGGGATTCATGGATTAGAAGTTCAATATATTAAGATGTCAATAGATTGAATGTAAGGTTGATAAAAATTATGAGTTTTTTTTTTTGCAGAAATGAATCAGTTGACTCTAAAATGTATATGGGAATGCAAGAGTTCAAGAATAATCAAAGCAACCTTGCAGATGATTCATTTAAGCAATTATCCAGATGTATTATAAAACCATTGTAAGAAAATGTGATATTGGCACAAGGATAGACAGATCAAAGAAAAGAACACAAAAGACCAGAATTAGACCCACAAATATTTGGTAGCCTGTGACCTAATTTATGTCAAAGGTAACATATTTGCAGTGCGTGGGGAAAAGACCTCTTTGGAAAATGATACTGAGTCATTTTGTTATCCATGTGGGTACAATGAATCTTGATCTCTTCCTTATACAATTTACAAAAATTAATTACATATGAATTTGCAGATCCTAAAGTGGAAGGCAAAATAAAGATTTCAGAAAAAGGCACAGGAAAATGTTTTCATATCTATGTGATAAGCAACAATTTCTCAAACTGGAGACAAGATGCTAATCATAAAGGAAAGATATTGTTAAATTATTGATCATTATGATGAATCCTTTCCTTGAAAGGTCTGGTTAAGAGAGTGTGAGGCTAAGCTGCAAAGTGGGAGAAGGTATGCGACCTCTATATGTAATCTCATGAAGAATTCTTAACCAGGATACATAAAGAATTTCTACAATGAAAAGGCAGATAACCAAGTAGGAAAATGGGCAAAAGACTTGAACCGGCACTGTACCAATGAACCCATCCAAATGGTCAGCACGTATAGAACAAGGTGCTCCACCTCGTAAGTCATAGGGCAATTGCAAAGTGAAATTACAAAATGATACAACCGCACATAGCCAGAACAACTGAAATGGAAAAGTCAATATTAAGTGTTGTCAAGGATGTTGGGGAAAAAATTGTCATACTTGCAGGTGGGTGGGTATGTAAATTGGTACC